ACGGCTGCCTCCCATGGCAGTTCGGACTGCAGGTGGCTGTAAGATGAAAGGGGAGGGAGGAAAGCAAAGAGACCAAACTTTCTTCGGGGGGGAGAAACGTTTTGGAGACTGGGGTAGGGCTGGCATCCTGAGGAGACAGCCGGGGCAGGGATCACCACAGTACCGGCGGGAAGGGGATTAGTATATTACAAATCTAGGATAGTGCGGGCTAGTGTGTTGCAACACCACAATCTCTCCATGTAGCTCTAAGATCTTGCTTTGCATCTTTTCTTCACTAGCTTTTCTCTGCTAACTTGCTCTCTGGTACAGCATCTTGCTATACTAGCATCTCTAGTGCATTGCTTTTGAAGTATGTTCCTATACTGGCATCTCAAGTATAGTGACAGAGTTGCTGTTTGGCATATAGATGCATTTCTAGTTATTAGCTTTGTGGTGGCTTCACTTTCCCAGTAGCTAACACCTCTAAGAAAAGGGCTCCGATGTAAGCAAAAGAATCTCAGCCATGTGAAAAATCTGAATTTTTTTTTTTGGGGGGGGTAAGGAGAATGGAAGGGAGCTGCAATTTGCCATATTTGCTATTATTAATACTGCTTCCATATAGAACAGCTTGTTCCTATTCCTGAAGGCAGCTAGTTGCCCCTGGCATTGATGACAACACTGATAAATTTTTTCCACCCTCCAGACTATGACAGCAGCACCTTTTTATCCTTCTCTTTGTACAGTCCATTACAAAAGAGAGAAAGAGGGGGTGCAGAAAGCTTGAGGCTATGCTAAATTTAAACTTCTGCCACAAGGCTGTAAAATTAGATCTCCCACCCAACCTGATTAGGTGACAATAAGAAACTATTTCTAAATTGATACCATTGAAAGTACATTTGTAATCCTAATAAGATACCCTAGGAATACTTGTTTATTACAGAGGGGGAAAATAACTTGATTTATTATTTGTTTGGCTTTTTCTTTTTTATGAGTTCTTGTTTAAGAGATCAAACAAGGACAATTTTTTTTAATCTGCATCCTGTGTATCTTAGCCTCCGAGCAATTTGTAAATCCTTTACTTTGTAGAGAATGATTTAGGCCAGTGCCTTCGTTTTAAAAATACTCTTTCTAGAAGATTAAGATGGACTCAAAACGTGAGGCACAGAGCTTCCTGCTGTAAATTCAATGGGAAAGAAACCTGATGAATTCAGTTTGAGATTTTAATTTAGAGGACACTAGGGTTACTTTGCTGGAACCTAATTGAGAGCATAGCAGCTCTTGTGGTGCCCATCACGACTTTATTATGCATTAGGTGGATTGTTTTAATAAGATATTCAGACAAAAGAAAGAACAAAATGAAGTTATTACTAAAATAAAGTACTGGCATGCAGTAAGTTAAGGAGAATACATGTTTCTCCAAAGTGCTTAGAAATCTACTGTGTAATGTACAGTTTCATCCCAAAATCGTTTGCATTAAGCAGGACAAATCTATTTCTTGGTAAAGGGTTGAACAGATGGCAATCCATTAAAATGCAAAGAGAATTATTAGTATTTCAATATTATGATCCAATTGCATTCCTGTTCATTATTAAAACTATGGGTTTTTTTTAAACACTCTCTCTCTCTCTCTCCCCATTAGTCATAATTAAGATTCCACTAGATATGGGCTAGAATGTGCCTGGCACTTTCATAGAGGTGCAAGTTGAGGGCCAAAAATGCCCTCTTCTCACCTGGTGACTGAAGTAGATGAAAATAGGAGAAGGACTCACTTAATGTAGTTGGGATGCAGAGTTGCATCAGCACAAGGTGATTGCATGCAACAAGGAAAAGGAATATATCCAAAGTGTTCATGTCCCAAAGAAGGCCACTTCTTCAGTGGGGACACAGTCACCTTTCAGGGGCTGCTGCTGCTGCTTCAGTTCTTCAGAAGGCTGAGAGCCACAGAAACATCTCACCTAGGCCCAGTGCCTCCAGATGTTTTCACTTGAGTTTTCCCCTTACCAGCCAGGGAAGAGGGGAATCTCTGGGGCAGCAGGATTTCTCAAATCAAGGAAGAGAAGCGCTCCCTTTGCTTTTATCAAAATAGAAGGAGCTGGGCTCCTCCTGAGTCTGCCTCAGCCCAGCTAAGGTCAAGACACAGTCCACTCTGGAAAATACCATAGACCTGCACCGGCTCCGTGCTCTCCCATAGAGAAGTCAGTGCAGCCAGGAGACTAAAGTGCATTCCTTGAAAGCGTGTAGTGGTTCAAGTGATCGTGGTGAGGGAATTATCATGGTGGAGCCCATGGGAGCAGTGTCTAAATGGTGAAATCTAGCCCTATGTAGATAATATACAGATGTAAAATCTTCATTATTGTCCTGGAATGTGTCATATCACACACACACACACACAAAAACTTCATATGCACAGTTTTGTTTTTCAAACCCTGTCACAGATAAATGAGAAATACATACATTAAAATAAAACAAAATTTAAAAGTGACTGTCATTTTTGTGTGAATGATTGGAAGCCGATTTAATTCTGGAAGATTACTTCTGTCTAAAGGACAAGAATTAACTTCCTTAATTCCTGTCAGCATGTCTCTATCTACCTGCACAACTGTCTGTGTCTGCAGGACTCTAATATGTAGAGCAACTTTCCAATATAATGGAAATTTTAATCACAGTTTCATCTCACAGACATCTCCCTTTAGTCTGAGCACCGTATGTGACTGGGTGGGAGACAGCATATGTCCTGGGGAAGGAATGTGATGTGACACAGCTACTAGGGCTGGTGCAGCAGTGGGTATGCATACCCCCCCTGGGTACTCAGAGGTTTTCCAAAGGGTGCATCAACTCATCTGGCTATTTGCCTAGTTTTACAACAGGCTACATAAAAAGCACTAACGAAGTCAGTACAAACGAAAATTTCATACAGACAATGACTTGTTTATACTGCTCTATATACTATACACTGAAATGTAAGTACAATATTCATATTCCAGTTGATTTATTTTATAATTATATAAAAATGAGAATTTTTCAGTAATAGTGTGCAGTGACAGTTTTGTATTTTTATGTCTGATTTTGTAAGCAAATAATTTTAAAATGAGGTAAAACTTGTGGGTACACAAGACAAATCAGACTCCTGAAAGGGGTACAGTAATCTGGAAAGGTTGAGAACCACTGCTATGGGGGAGGGTGAGGTTGGGGGCAGGGCTACAAGTGTTCAAGAGATTTGGGAGGGGAAAAAGCCTGTGATGCATAGTGGAATGCGGTGGACATAATATATCTGGAATTTGCAAGGCTTTTGACACAGTCCCACATGACATTCTCATAAGTAAGCTGGAGAAATACAGATTCAGTAGAACTACCCTTAAGTGGATACATAATTGGTTAAACAGCAGCAAACAAAGAGTAATATTAATGGAATGATGTCAGATTAGAAGGAGGTCTCAAGTGGGGTCCATAGGGATCTGTTCGGGGTCTGGTGTTATTTAACATCTTTATTAATGACCTGGATGTAGGAATAGAGAGCCTACTGATTAAATTTGCGGATGACACAAAGCTATGGGAGGTAGCAAACATTTTGGAGGATAGAACTAAAATGCAAAAGTATCTTGATAAATTGGAGAACTGGGCTACAGACAACAAAATGAAATTAAACAAAGACAAATGTAAGGTGCTAAACTTAGGGAAGAAAATCCAAACACACAAATACAGAATGGGGGAGAACTAGCTTGGCAGCATCATTGCAGAGAACGATTTGGGAGTTGTGGTGGATCATAACCTCAACATGAGTCAACAATGCGATGCTCTTGCAAAAAAAGCAAATGCAGTTTTGGGTTGCATTAACAGAGGCATAGCATGCAAGTCACAAGAGGTGATAGTACCACTCTACTTGGCGCTGGTTGGGCCTCAGCTGGAGGACTGTGTCCAATTTTGGTCAGCACTGTATAGAAAGAATGTAAAGAAACTGGAAAGGATCCAGAGGTGAGCAACAAAGATGATCAAAGGGATGGAATGAAAGCCGTATGAGTAAAGGCTGAAGGAACTGGGTATGTTTAGTTTGGAAAAGAGGAAATTAAGGGGGGACATGATAGCCATCTTCAGATGCCTGAAATCCTGCCATTAAAAAAATGGAGAAAAATTGTTCTCTTTTGCCAGAGAGGGCAGGAGAAGAGGCAATGGGTTCAAACTACAGCATCACAGATTTAGATTAAATCTCAGGAATAACTTCCTAACTGTAAGAACAGTAGGAAAATAAAACAAACTACCTAGGGAAGTTGTAGAAGCTCCTTCACTGGAGGTTTTCAAAAAGAGACTGGATAGCCATCTGTCTTGGATAGTTTAGATACAACAAATCATGAATCTTGGCACGGGGTTAGACTAGATGACCCTGGTGGTCCCTTCTAGCCCTGTGATTCTATAGTGACTTGCAGCAAGCCGGAGCTTGAGGGTTGGGAGAAACAGAGAACATGGAGATAACCATGAAGGAGGCTTAGGTTAACAGTTAAAATTTAATCTTTTAAAGTTTGATTGTTCTGCAATCTTTGTTTAGTCTGGACTGTAAGAATGTGCTACTGAGATGTGGGGTTGGGAAGCAGACTCACTCCCCAGTGCCTCACTGCTACAGCCCTGTTACACTATGGCCTAACATCCCCTACTTTCAGGGCCCTACGCCTTACCTGCCTCCAC